GTCACTAAGTTTCTAGACACAAAAACAGCCTTACCAGTGTCTGTTTGTGAATGTGACTGATGAACAGGTGAGAGAGGTATAAAGTGCAGCATAAAGTCGAGCTGCAGATAACATTTCCACCATTACTTAATCTAATGATTTGTTTTCATATAATTGCTGAATGTAGTCGACTGAATGTTAGATAATGACAAAGATAATGCTGCTGTGTGCTCGTAAATTGATTATTTTGTCTCATCTGCTTCCATATACAGTGATACAGAGAAGAAACTACATATTTCAGGAGCTGTAACCAGGAATTTTAAGTTGATTAATGAAATAAAATCAGTTTATACAGAATCTTTCTGATCAGTCATTAAACATTTCAGCACAGATCTTAAGTGTTTTAAGTGTTTAACGTAAAGCAAGTGGAGCAGCACTCAACTTTTTACAATTTAAAAAGGGCATAAAACAGAAATTCATATCCTGCATTAAAGCAGTAGATTAAAGCCAGAAGATTAAAAAAAAAAAGATTAATAAATACATTTAATAGGTTTAAAGTTCAGAGAAAAAGAAACTCAAGAGTTTAACTTTGCTCAAAATCCCGCCGCATGGAGCAGAAAGAGTTAATGATGTGAATAAAACCCCCAAACTGTCCAGCTTCAAGAGACCTTCAGCCCCTCTTGAAGAGGTTTGATTGACAAGGTGCAGAAGCCTGCTCATCCATCCACAGTGTGTGTGTGTGTGTTCTGTGTGTGTGTGTGTTGGTGTGTGTGTGTGTGTGTGTGTATGGGCAGAGGAGGTTTAGGTATTCGGTCTGTTAAGCATCTGTCATTAAACAGTGTGTGTTGTGTGTCTTTCATGGTACACTGCTTTCACTCCAAGTAGGAGTGAACCGAGTCAGAGTTTCACTCAACATGTTTAGAACACAGCATCAGGAGCTTTGTAAGGTTTTAAAAATGTCTTAAAAAATAAAGAATAAGGTAGTGGGAAAATGAGTTTTATAACAGGATTAAATGAACATCTTGCAACAATATTTTGTCTTTCAGATCATAAAATCATGCAGATAAGCAACTATTTTGATGATGTATTAATCATTTAAGTATTTTTTCAATGTGAAATTCCTGGTTTCAGCTTCTCAAATATGAGGATTTGCCGCTTTTATTTATTTTATAATTTTAAAAGAAATCTTTTTTGGTTTTTAAAAATTCAGTTGGACAAAAACATTAAGAAGATGTCACCTTTGACTCCCAGACAATTCTCAATATTTCTCAAAGACAACGAATCAAACAAATAATCAGCAGCTTATTTGATAATGAAAATAATCTTTAGTGGCAGCCCTAAAAAGTGTAATTCGCCCTGTTGGCTGATCATTCATTTCACCTATTTCTTGTGATAATGAAAGCTGAAGGATATTTTATTACAAAAGTATCTAATTTATTCAAGACGTTTACGTTCATGTTTCAGTAACTGATTCAACTCGAAGTGGAAATAGTTTAAATTACAGAATGACAAAAATGTAATTACATTTCCCTTTTCCAGCTCAACTCACATTAAAAAAGCAATTTGTGGCAAATTAGAGCAGAGTTTTGTTTTGGGAAGGAATAAAAAGAGTAACTTCTAATCTCGACTAATGCAGCATCACGATGGCCATTTCTTACTTGGTGTCATGAAGGTAAGAAAAACTGTAAATTATAACCTGCTATTGAACATAAAAGAGACCCTGTAATTTGAGGAACTCTTAATTTTATCACCATCCTCAAGTCTTCTGTTTTTGAATAAATCTCATCTCTGAACACATTTTTCTCTGGCATTAAACCCACAGCTCGAGGAGTGCTCAGATTTCCAACATCTGGGGCAATTTTCTGCTCAAGACTGAAGTTTTTTTTTTAAGATAACTATTTTTTTCAGATACTCTAGTGAGATTAATTAACTGAGGCAACTTGTTGGCGCAATTTCAATATGAACACATATTTAAGTAACGAAAAAAGCTGTGTGAGAAAACTTGGCCTTGGTTAAAATCCACCTCGATCCCCGAAGAGTCGAGTTCAAAACAGGCTTTACTTTCCGTTTTTTGAAGATAAAAAAAAAAAGTTGAAAGTATCAGTGTGGGAAAGAGCAGATCTTTACTGATATGATGTGAAAGCATTTTTTGTTTGCGTGTGTTCCTTCAGGCCTAATGCGAAGACAGCCGACATGGATGTGTCTAGAATGCTTTTAGGCAAAACATATTGTACTGAATGAAATGTTCCTCAGTGGTATTATCCAAATCTTTCCGCTGTAAATGGCCACATGCTGAACTGACAACCTGCTGCACATAATTATAAAATGGATTATGTTTGAAAAGCGCTGTAGCAGAATGTCATTTTTATCCATAAGACCTTTAAAAACAGACATTTAAATGATAGAGTGATAAAAAAAAATAACGGCAATTGTGGGAGCAGCGATGAAAAGAAGGGTGTAATGTTTCTAATCAGTCAAATCAGAGCAGAAGGTCTCCCTCCATCTTGGGCAGATGAAAACCTGCAGTGACATTGTGATTAATCGTGCAAAAACTTCTGTAACCTGCTGTTTCGCCATGATTTCCAGGAGAAAACCTCAGAGTCCTGCTTGCTCTTGTGGTAGAAACCTGACCAACTGATCCAGCAGTTTGAGTGTTTCGCCAAACACAAATGATGACTTTAGTAGATTTCATGAAACACAACAGAGGAGCTGTACAGAGGATATTAAAGTCATGTTCTCCACTGGTGATAATCTTGAGTACTGTAGTTTGTGTTGTAGTATTTGGACATACTGTACACTGAAATGTGCTTTCATTCAACAGCCTTTAAGAAAAGAAACAAGGAAACAGCCTTTTGATGACACTTTGCTTCTGTCGTTGACTCTTCAGTTTGAGCTGGACGGGGTTTGGACATGGCATGTTTCAAAAAGTAGTTTAAGAACGTGTGGCATTTGAGGTTAAAAAAAAAAAAAGACTATTGGTTGGTAGTTTGCTGTATACATCATAATCAAAAATACTCCATTTTCTATGTAAAAGGTCATGGCAACAGGGCATAAAACTGAAGCATTTTGCATGTATTGCTAAATACAGAGCACTACATACAGAGGTGATTCATAGCAACGCACATGAACTCAACTGCTATATTTAAGTACAGTGTTGAGGTATATTGAGGTTGTTTTTGCTAATTTAATGATCTGCCTCCAAAGAATGAGTGAGAGCTGCTGCTCCGCGACCGACCTATCGTTCAGCGTGCTAACCCAGTAGCACAAAGAAGCCAGCAATGGCAGAGAGAGGCAACGGGGAAAAAACGGCAGTCGCCAGTTGTCAGGATGTCAGTTGCCAGTCGGAAAATTATAAAATGTCGGCCAACTCTACAGGCAGTATATCCAATGTGTGAGACTTCTACATTGTGATTATTACTTATATTTAAGTACAGATTTTAATACTTTCTTTCACAACCGAAAGCAGATGTGGGAACAGAAGAACTGGCCAGCAGTCTGCAAACCTGACGCTCTTTTATTGTGTTTTTAAAGCAGCAGCAGCGGAGGCAGCGGCGGCGGCCCACTGCAGCTACAGCAGCGTTTATCAGGTGCTAGTTACACGCTACATTTCCTGAGCGATGCCGTCGCGTCCCGGGCCTGCAGCGGCAGACCACTGAGGACTCGGAGGAGCTCGGCCACCCAGGCGGAGGGGCTGGTGAGCTGTTGATGAAGTGAGGGGTCACTGCAGGGTTAAGTGAGACCTCACACTGGACAAGCAGGCCAGACCTCAGGCCACGGTGGCATATGGGTGTGAAGGAGGTGAGGAAGCTGAGGAGGGGTGGAGGAGTGGGGGGGGGGCGCCAAGCTGTCCCCTCCGCCTCTCATGAGACCCCCAGCTGTCACAACAGACACTTACCAGCCCTCACACTAAACACCCACCAGGGAGAGGGGGGCAGCATCCTTCCTCTTTCAAACAGAAGGATGGAAAAGAGGAAGAATGGAGGGAAAAAGAGGGTAATCTCTTCTTCCTGCTGCTGTGATGTCTGAGGAATGCTGGGATCTGCCCCCGCCACCGTCCTCTGCCACTTCTGAAGCCAGACTGCAAACCTGCTAATTATAGCCGCTAACGGATGAAGGTGTGACCTAAATAGTTATTTTAAGTGTGGAGCAGACCTGTGAGAACCACTGCGCAGAGAAAGCAGAGGGAGTCGCAGCAGGACGGAGGAAGTTCCAGCACCGACCGTCGCACAACAAAACACACAGCTGCAGTGCAGGCGAGCCGAGGTCAGACTGCAAGACCGTTCAAATACTGCGAGACTACAGCGGCTCAGACTGAACCGCAGGGCTTTCTTTCTAATGGACGATCTAGCAAAGGTGACTGAAGCAAAGAGAGGGATCACACACAGATGAGAATAAAGGATCATTAGACACACAACTGTACTGGCAAACTAGCAACATCCGTCTAAGATTGCTGTGATTTGTGTGTCATCTAATAATGAGGAAGCGTTTAGTTGAAACTGCATACATACTTTTAGATCAATGAATGCTACAGTGATCTCAGGAGATTCTTCTACAAGTACTTTCTCTGCACAAACACTCGCTTTAACAACACTTCCACCTGCCTTTGTTTGTTGAATACATGCTGCTTACACCATTCCTCGACCCAACACACCCTCTCCCCCGGCTTTCTTTCCACACCTGAGAGCCTATTGACAGAGTGTCCCAGTAACACGCGTATCACTTAACCCCATGTCAAAACACAGGTGTAACGTAAGCCCGGGGAGCAGACAGAGGTCCTGAGCTCATAAAGGAATGTGTGAGCTGGGAATAGCACCCTGCATGGAAGGGACGCCCCTCACTGAGAGCGTACAGCAGAGTACAGAGTTACTGCAGGGAGGGGAGCTGGAAAACAGCCAGATCCTGGGAGAGGGGAAGGCACACCTCCACCTCAGGGATCCACAACAAAACGAGACAGAATGTGACACAGCAGTTATGAAAGACAGAGATTGATGAGAGGAGTTTTGGATGGAGGGTAAAAAGAAAGAAAGCGGTTGGTGCTCTTACCATGGCGCCCCGTATATCCGGAATCCCTTTATGGTGACGTCTGAGTCCTGCAGGTACACACAGTTTGTGAGGAGCGTCTGGACATTGTCAAAGTCCTCTGGTTTGAGTTTGGAGACTGAGGGGAAACGGTAGTAATCCTGCTTGACCAGCTCGGCCATAAAGTCCTTATCAAAGGTCAGCTCGTGGTTCCCGGCGATCACCACCTTAAACTCGTACGGGAGGCCACCTAGAAGAGACAAGAGCAACCAGGGAGAGGGTGGTGAGCTGCAGTCCCATATCCACATATGGATCCACATCTTAAGCTCTAGTCTGTATCACTTCTGGTAGAAGTGACGCGTATATAGAATTGAAGAAGTTGTGGTTACATTGTACGAGTTTGAACAACCAGGATGCTCAGTATAACAATTTCTGAGCAACATATTTACTAATACTGACCATTTAGACAGTTCTTCCACTGACATCTGCAGCATCAAAATTGCACCAATCAACGTACCCGTCGACCAACAAGCTGTAATCTATAAAAGTTTCTCACATCGGAGGTGGACAATGCTAACGAGCCAATTAAAAAAGGAAAGAGGTCCGTGTTTGATCCATAAATTATCAAAGTGATTTGCTCACCAGTTTTGCACAGATCTTGTCCAAAGGTTTTAATATCCTGAGTCTGCATAATTATTGGGGTTTTATTATTAATTGCGATATGAAACTAATTAAGTCCATTGATACTGAGAAAAGTGTCAATGTGTTCTTTTTATTAAAAAATTAACACGTAATGATTTTAACAACTCTGTGAAGATTCAGGCTTTTGCAGAAATATTGCATTCACAAATGTCTGACAAGAGAGATTTGTTGCTTTATAAAAGTATTTCTGAATCTATATTTAATATACACATTTTACTGTCAGCGAATCAGTCAAGGATTTCAATACACTGCAAATAATTCTTAACACTGAACAAGTTCTTTACACACATTTTCTTTTATATTGTGAAGCTCTGCTCTCCTTCAAGGCTGAACAGTATTCTATAAAATCACAAAGGGGTTGTACTTTCTACCTGGTCAGTGTACTTCTATACAAACAGCAGGTTGTCCTAATATTTTGTACATGAAGCATACACTCCCACTGTAGCTCCCTGTATACCTAACCCTGAGCACAGATCAGGACTGGAAAGAAAACTGGGATAAGTGGAGGGGAAAAACACCCTCAATTCAGACAGTCAGAGAGGTTACAACCACAGCTGACGGCTCTGCTTGACCCCAGCAGCCCACTGTCCATCTCCGCAGACGCCAGGCGGCTGGGAAAAGCATGAACCTGAACTAAATAGAGAAGAACATCTATTACAATTCTCATCCCCTCATCTTTCAACTTCTGCTGTGCCCTTTTCGCTCTCCTCCGTCGAGGTGATTTGTCCCGGTTCCCCTTCGCCATCAAGAAACTGACTTGCTACTTTATTCCAGCCGATTGAGCACTCAACGAAAGGGTCTGGCCTTCATCACCTTTCCATTCTCTCTCTATATTTCTCTTTTCAGTTTTTTTAGGCTTCCTGGGGATTTTGTTCCAGTCTTTCTTCCTTTCTGTCTTTTTTATCCTGTTCTGTAGGTTATCCGCAGTTTCATTTATGTGTAGTTAGCTGAACCATAGCCACGGGAAGAATGGATGCTGAGGCTGCAGCAGCACGTCTGTCCCCAGTGACAGCAGCCCCAATGCAGGCAATATAGTTTATAATAGGGCTGCATCTAACAATTATCTTAATTATCCATTAATATGCTGATTATTTTCTCAAACAATCCATTATTGTTTGGCCTACAGCCTACTACAGTGCAGTTTCTCTGACCAATAATCAAAAACCCAAAGCTTTTTTGTTTACTATGAAACAGAACAAAGAAAAGCATTAAATCCTCACAAGGGGACTGGGGAATGTTTGGCAGTTTATGCTTGAAAAATGACAAATACCTCATCAATTGTTCAGATATTTACAATTAATTTTCTGCCGATCAACTAATCGATTGTGGCAGGAAGGTCTGGAAAGGATTTGGACAAAATATTCAAAAGTTCAACTAACAGCAGCGCTACGGAAGCTTGTATTGACCTGAGCGACGACTCGTGATGTGCTAATGAATTCATCCTGATTACTAATCACTTCATATTGTTTGGCTGAAGTGACGTCATATAGTGTTGTCAAGAACAAGTCGTGCGTTTTTGTTTTTGTTTAATAAACTGAAGCCATTTTCATAGACTGAAAGCACTGATGTTGGATTGATCAGATCATGGATTAGTCAGAACTGTACTTGCTGGTTCTTAAAAGTACCACTGTCTGACCTCCTAGGATGACCTTGTAGTGCCGGGTACTCTGCATTACTTTAGTAGCTCATAATTATAAAATAAATGAAAAAGATTTATCCAGAAACCCCTTTTTTCTTATTCAGATGAAATCATCTTATCATTGTCGATTAATAAAATCCTTAATCTTCACGACGAGGACCTTTAAGTAGCAAAGTCTCGTGAATTCTGCTTCTGTTTTTCAAAAGTTTAAGTTTATTGTCGGAGAAGATGATACGTTTTGGTGATTTGCAGGCGTAAAGACATCTCATTAAATTGAGCTGAATTTAGTTGAAAAATGTATGTTTACAGGTCTAGATTATACACATTTACGACTGCATTTCAACAGCTATATTTAGCACATTTTACAGGATATCCTACAGATATTTATTCACAAGAACTGTACAAAATGAAATCTTTCACATAATGACAGGATTATTGTGCATGTGTACAAGTGAGATGCCTGCATCAACCTTTGGCTGACAGAAAGGGGTTTCCGCTCACCAAGTTGCTTTTTTCTCACCATTAGCTTTTTCCCCTTTTTTGTGAAGTGCTTTTTCCCTTATTGTTCCTCTGTTCCAATAATTTCTCCGTCCAGTAATAGCAGGAGGTCATGATGCATGCCAAGAGGGCAAATTGAATAAAATACTGAATAAAAATCTTATTTGTAGAATAAAAATGCTTTTGACTCATGACAGTAAGTGAAAGAAAGGATGTAAGCGCGCTGCTCAATTTTGCAGCAGTGAAGTCCACAATTGGAAATAAAACTAATACAATAGAATATAAATTCAGTCAAGATACGCTGGCTCAATGCAAATAAATAAAAATTCCACCGCATCCGTTTAAAGTGTGTGTGTGTGTGTGTGTGAGAGTGCAAGAGAGAGAGAGAGAGAGCGAGAGAGAGAGTGTGTTCGCTAATGCTGAAAATGAAAGAATCATGGTTCCCCGGTCTATAGGTTTCATTCCCGCTACTCTAAATTAGCTCTTGTCGCGTCTCAGGATCATAAATTCCAGTCTAACCTTATATGAGAGCGCCGTCTCTCAGTCCCCCAGCACTCTAACTGGATCACACATCCATTTACACACACACTACCTAAAGCGAATCATCCTCTCCACCACCACCAGGCAGAGAAAAGGTGGGGAAAACATAATTACCATCAAATAACTCCATCTCCATTACTCTACTGGGAATTTCTACTGCTTTTTATTGCCACCATGATACATCTCACAGAGGGTTGGTGGAGTGATACACCTAGATTTATTTTTTATTCTTCGCCCACAAACAGGGGATATGAAAGATGGGAAGAAATTCAAAACAAATCTCTGTGAAGAACAAGAACAGTGTGTGCAGGGAAAGATCAACAAGGCAGACTTACGTTTCCATAAGATTTAAGAAGACAAAAACATCTGCACATGAAAACACAAAATTGAAAATACACCCTTTTCCAACCAGGGTAAACAGAAGTTTAATAAAAAAAATCATCTTCTATGTGACATCCCTTAAATTAAAGAAGGTGAATGCTAAAACAAAAAAATAATAATTTCCCTTCATCTCCTCTCTTGTCTCTTCAAATTAATCCTTGAGGAAATATGATCCAAAATCCAAATCAGCACATCTTCCAATTAGTGCGGAAGCTGCGAATATGCACTAGTTTTGTAAAACAAGCTTTCTCCTATCAGTTTCCCTCAGCACCTCAGTTCAAGTGTCTTTCAGGTATCTGTTCTAGTGTTACGACCTGCAGCTTCACTGCTCTGGTTGTTTACAGGGATAAAGCAGTCAATGTACGCTACCTGCACAGCACCAAAAAGCAGAAGTTAGTGATTTCTGTATTCTGTAACATTCATCAGGTGGCCAGAAACAAACAGTTGATTGGATTGTGATATTTGTACAATGTTTATTTCAACTGATGAGCTCTTTAAAGAAACTGAAACTAATAAAGAATTGCAAATACGTTTTTTAAACAGTGACGTAAAACAGGAAGTGAACAAAACCTCTAACGGTTAGTTCTCACTGTTGAACACAGCTAATCAACTGCTGTATA